AGACATACAGGACGAGGAGGTTCGTGAAGCTCCGGGTACTGTCAAAGCGAACGAATACCGCCGCCGTCGTGACAAACCGCATGCACCGACTCCCAGGGTGAGTTGGTAATTAGTACAGATTTTTCAACGAAAAAAACACCAGGGCATTCGTATTTACAAACTGCACACCTTAATGCCCTCACTCCGCTTGCAGCGAACGCGTCGAGGATGAGTATCCCGTCTTCATCCTCCCTTGGCGCCTCTTGCTGGTCCTCGTTATTGCTAACGCGTTCCACACCACCACCCCAACAACCTCGCGACAAACGCCCCAGTGCCCCTTTTGCAAACAACCAAACGCCCCAACCCTTACTTGCTGTTCCACCTTGTGTCACGTCATCTACGAGAGAAGCTCTGCTGCGCAAGGTACCATCGGCGGAAGAAGGCCGCGAAGTAGGTGGGATCTGCCTCTTCTTGCGCTTCTTACCCGCTAGCCGTTCCCGCACCCTTTCCTCCGCGAGCACATTCGCCATCAAGACGCTAAGGTCTCGGTTGATGGCCCCAACCCTGTTGTAGAAAACCGCCCCTTCATCAGCACTTTCTCCCGCCAGTAGCTCGGCAACTCTCTCTGCCCCTCCCGTGGCGAAAGCTTCTTCGCTGCAGCCAACAGTCGCAACTGCCCAACAAGCGGTACGCCCCCTTGCTCGGCGGGCGACTGCTCCTGTGCTTTTCGACTGCGGAAAGCTGCACTTACTCAATGTATCAATCGCTGGTACCATTTTCGCCGCATTGTCTGCAAATGAATTCGTCCAACGACTTTGCTTGAGCAAAGCTTGCCCGAATGCCGCGACAAGGGCACTTTTGCCACAACATCGCATGTTGCACCGTCCTTCCTCGCTTCCTGTCCGCTTCCGCAGGTCCTCGTCCAAGGGCCACCCAACGGTGCCCGTCAAGTCGCGGTTCACGTATTATAAAGTAGCTTTCGCTCTCTATCGATGCAAGTACTCGTCCCCTCCTTCAGTAGCAGAGAGAGGGTTTGCAGTTCGCAGCATGCAGCTCTGGGTGGAGCGCGAGCTGGGGTTCATGAAAACGAGGCGGAGGCGTTGCGCTGCGAACCACGTTAGTAGCGCCGCCTCCACGCCCGAACAGGCAACTAATGCTCCGACTCACTCCGGCCACCGCCGTTCAGCGTTCAGCCGATCGCACACACCTCGACTTGCTGCTGCTAAGTGTGTGGAGGATGCGAGATGGTATCGTATGGGAACCATCCATCCAGAAGGAGACAGCCTACTACGACCAGCTGTTCGGGGTCGTCGACCGGGATAACACATCGACGCTCGACGGCAAGGAGGCGGTACAAATTCCTCGGACTCAGCGGCCTAACCAAAGCGCAATTGAAGGTGTGATACACGAACATAATTTTTAAAACGAAAAGTTCATACTACTGATGCGCACATGTTCGTGATCACTAATAAAGGACTGCAGTTACTTTCATTGCATTCGTTCCTACCCGGACCGTCAGCGGTCTTCGCGCATTGCCTCCGAGTACACTACACATTTGATGATATTCGTATGATGGGCAAGTCTAGGCAGTACCGTGCAGCCAAAGACTGCTGCCGTTTCCGTTGTGCCGGAGTCTGATGTTCGAAATAGATAGGAAGTCAGTGTGGATGACAGGTTGTTGTTGTTGTTGTTGTCGTTGTCGTTGTTGTTTCTCACATTAGCTCTATAGTCCACAAAAAAATGGGGAGCCCGTGGTCTCAAAACCCGGCACATACGACGCCGCGGGGAAACAAAACCAAAACAAGGTGCAAACCACTCGGAAAAAGAAGACAAAATGATAAAAAGAAAAGAACAGGTATCGCACCGACCGTTCGAGAGAAGAGCCCTCGGAAACCGATCAAAATAAAACAAAAACAAAAAAAAAGGAGGACGCTTCCCACACCCGCCCAAAGAAAAAATCAAAGGGTACCAGCACCAGGCACTACGCACCAGGGCATGGGAGTAACGGAGCAAACAGGACAAAGAGGCGGCAGATGGGCAGACAGTCAGATAGATGTACAAAAACGAAGGCAACAGCAAAGCGAGATCAAGGTACCCAACACAGCAGAGTAGGCAGGGAGGTCATGAAAAAAAGAAACACAGCACAGAGGCCGAAGGCAATACAAAGGACATACATGAAGGAGTATACATACAGCAGGGAGGGAAACAGGGCTCAACAACATCAGTCGGGTACATAGTACACACCCACTAGACCACCGGTCGCCCCGGTGGTCTAGTGGGTAGCCTCGCAGCCTGCTAAGGGCTAGGTCATGGGTTCGAGTCCGGGCAGAGAGAGTTTTTTTCTCACTAAATAAATCCTGGTCTAGGATGAAGGCGACGCGCTGCAAAGCTCGTTGTTAGTATACCATAATTGACTTCGTAAGTNGAACCGCAGGAGGGGGTCCAACCCCCCCCTCCTATGTGACCCCGGTTGGGTCGTCTAGCTGGTAGAAGTGGAGGATAGGGGCCAGAGGGGCAGACGACAGAGTCCAATGATGGGAGGAAAAAAATAAATATATACTTCCTCTGTCACATAAGTAAAGTCCGTTATGATTACACGGCCATTTAGCCGTGTCCGATGTTTTAGGCGATACTTTTTTTGAAATCTTGAGCGTTTTTCGGGTTGAAACCCATATTTCTTTTTTTTTCTTGCGCACTACCCTGCATGCACTAGCGGCTTACAAAAAAGTAGTCAGGCCAAAAAGGCCGTATTTTGCCCCTTTCCATGAGGGTGGGGGTGGGGGCACGAAACGAAACATACCAAAAAAAGACAAGAATTATCCCGAACCCTAAACCCAAGGTTACCTCTACTGAACGATCCATTTCGCGTCCTCCCATACAAAAACCAACATAGTAGTGAACCCACACTAAAATCAAGACATTTTCGAGGCCCACACTAAAACCAAAACACTTGGGGGCGCCGCATTAAAATCAAGTTACTTGCGGGGCAAAGCCGACAGGCGTAGGGTCCTAACCCTACCCCCCCCTTGTACTCAACGACCCATGTCGCGTCCGCCCAATGTTTTCTGGGGTAATCACTACCAACGCCGTACCGCTCGGCGAGGGGGCCTAGAAAGCCCTTGGGTACCCTTTCTTTGCCCGGCGGAATCGCCAGCGCTATCTCCACCGCCGTGGCGTACCGACGACCCAACGATACTTCCGCACCCCGCTTACAACGTGGGGGTGTCTGGGCGTCGTCCCCCATGATAGCTACGTCGTTGTGGTGGTAGTGGGTGCTCACACAGCACAAAGCTGCAAATATTCTTCAAAATATTCTCAAAATGTTTTCAAAATATTCCCAAAATATTCGCAAAATAGTCCCGTATTTGACACACTAATTCTCAGTAATTGTGAGTCGGATTTTTTTTTTTAAGTTATGTGCGTAACAAGCGCTTTCCAACAAACCTAACTAGAGCTTCAGGAACACCTTGGCTGGTGCGGTATGTAAATTCCCCCATAACGGACTTTACTTATGTGACAGAGGAAGTATATATATATATATATACATAGTTCGCCACAAGTGCTGCCTCGGCCGCCCTACTCGCTTCTACAGCAGTGCCCGGTCGCCGTTTCTTCCCCCCCACCACCGCTTCCCCGGCTCTCTTTCTCTTCGGTCCTGAGATGGCCGTACTCTCTGCTTCTACTTCCCTCGCGCGCTGGCGCTTCGCGGACGCTTCCGCCTCCTGCCTGTGCCATTTCCTCATGAACAGTGCCGCCCCGTCCTCGACCTTGTTGTACCACACCTCCGGGTCCTTGGCGCTCTCCCTCCATTTACCCCCTTCCTTTTCGGTGTAGAAGTGCTGTAACCATTGTTGTTGCACATACAAAAGAAGGACCAAGTTACGATCCGATCGGAGTACCTTACAGATGGTTGATTAGCAAGAGACCCAACTATGGATGCGTCCCTCTTAGCCCCACTTGTGGAGCTTGGGAATCCGAGACCCTCGGGCTTGGTCTCCCTCGCCCCTTCGGCGGCACTCTCTCTTTTGTCTCTCTCCTCTGAGACCCCCTCCTCTCTAAATCTCAACGCAGAGAACTGCCGGCCCTTAGTAGCGGGTAAAGACTACTGCGACCTGGGCCTACCTCCAACGAGGGAAGCCTGTGTGCTTAACAGCACTGAATTATCTACGTCGCTGCGATGGTATTTATTCTTGAGTGTAGTATTTTGAGAGGTACTCACAATAAACATGCGATACAGGCCCTGGAAGGACGCGACGTGCTACGGGTCTGTCATCCCGTTCATGGGTTTGTAGGTGTTTCGCGTAAACAAGCTGATAGAGTATGGCAGCCCACCCGATCAGGGATCCTGATTACTGGCAGCGAGGGTGTTTAATATATATATGATCACTTTTGGTTCGTCACGATCATGTGGATCCTTCTTGGTGTTATTGTTGCCGGGTAACTACGGAATTCTACGAGGCTCATAGACTACATTGTAGACAGAATTACAGTGAGCGCACGTTCGCCCACACGTTCGCAATGCCCGATGATCAGACACCCCAAGCAAGGACATTGTAAAATCAATACCTGGTGTATTGCAGTTGTTCTTTCTTTGCAGCATTTACAGAGAAACTAGAGGATAAGAAGCCTAGGCGCCGAACAAAGTAAGAACGTCCATCTGTACCTTCTTCTACTCCGTTTGGTGAGTTTCGTGTGTAACTCGTCCCGTGCCTCCCACCTCACCTTGTCTCATGTGTCACATCCCGAATCAAGGATGTGTGACAGCAGCAGCGACAGCGATCGCAGCGTGAATCTTCCTAAAGAAGGGAGACACCAACGCGACAAAGACGACGACAACAACCAGTCGAGTTTTTCGGGGAGTAGCTCTGATTCGGATACTGGCTCTTCGACGGGCCCAGAAAATGATGAAAATGGTAATGATGAATCGGGATCGTTTGGAGGCCTCGACAGCACAATAGGTACTAGTAGAGGAAGCAAGCGGATAGGATCCGCGCGGTCCCAATCCGCTTGTGCCTCTTCGTCAGCATCCTCGCCGTCAGGCGAGGAGGAGGAGGAGGACGGAGGCCCCGATCCTTTTTCAATGTCGGAAAAGGCACGGGCTAGATACCAGGTGTGTTGTTCTCATTTGTGTGGGGAACGCGGCCTGTGAATGCGCGCTTTCGTTCTTCTGGTAGAGAGTTGCGTTGAGTTGCCGACATCAAGCGTGTTCATGAGTTCCACGCTGTTGCTATGGTTTCGGTCTACACTTGTACAAGTACCATGAAGGTTCCTACTGTAGTTCTTGTTAGCTGAACACCCCTTTTCGCGCACACACATTGATCCGGACGGCATCAATCCACGACAACCGTTTGATTCGCGCATTATACGTACGTCGAAGGAAGCTGAAGTCTAGGATCAGGTGATAGGTGGTAAAGTCGATTCTTCAGAGTAGCTTCTTTTCACAATATTAGTATCTTCCCGTGCTCGACACACCTCGCGTCAGAAAAATTGCAGCGCAGATAAATTACTTGTTGGGTCGCAGCATTTGTGCTGGTTGAACAATACAACTCTACCTTGAAACAGGCGATATTTTGCAAAATCGACGCCACGGGGACTGGATCATTGAGCGGAAAGCAGGTTATAGGGTTGTTCGCCAAATCAGGGCTTGATAAGACAGCATTGGCGGTCATTTGGAGGTGAGAAATGGCGCCATATGTATGCTTGGCTACAAAGAAGCATTGCTGCATCTGATGAATAATAAAGAAAGTGCTAATTTTGTTCAGTTGTTCATTCTCTCTCTGCTCGGCAACGTGAACTTTTGACTCGCACAAAAAGGGATGTGATCTAGACGCTCGGTGTGTTGTGGTAGGTCCACGAGAACGATCGCCGCACAGCCATTTGGCAGCTCGAGGGGTACTCCGAGTGGACGAGAAAACATTCTCGAGAAACGCCCGCACTCACCACTACAAGCCCCTCTCTTGCCGTAGGTCGCTACAGGGACTCTCCCCGGCCGACGCAGAGCAGGGGTCTGCGGTCTTCCTTGGGTAAATCGTCCGATACATGTGTCTCCCGAAGCCATTCACGGTGTCTATCCAACCGATTCAAATTCCAAACTAACGGGCTTCCGAATCTTGTGTTATTTTTGTGGTCCGATGAAAGGTTGTCAGATCTAGACGAAGACGGAAGCCTCACAGCAGAAGAGTTCGGGATCGCTTTCCATCTCATCTTTTGCGCAACCCAACGCAAGCTGAACGTGCCGAATGAGCTTCCCCACAGGTTTGTCGGCCAAGGTCTATACGGCGATATTCTTATCCGTTCGGTGGCGTTTTCTCCTTTGTCCGAATCTCGCCTGGGGGAACAGCAGTCAGTCGTCGTCACCCAGAAACGATTGCAGGCGTGTTCTTCTGCTTTAGAGGCTGCGTGCTAGCACTGCAGCTGATTCGGAGGTGTGGTGCACTTCTCTCCGTCGCACCTGAACGCCTGCTCTAGCCTCTTCCCAATAAACTCTGTAACGATACAGTAGAGAAGTTAGTATTGTGGAGCTAGGTTCTTCTCTTGGGCACTTGGTCTTGATGGAGCCCTCAAGGAACAGACACAGCCTGTGCTTTGTAGAGGAGATATGCTTGTACTCTCAAGATGTCATGCTCAACTCTCACGGTAGGACCGCACCCTAACCCACTCTACCTCCTGGTTTCGCCAGCCTGTGGCCAGCTGGGTATGAACCACCGTCGTTCCTCGCTCGGCGTGAGGAGGAGGCGGAGAAAAAGCGAAGACAGGAGGAGCAAGAGCGACGACACAGGGAAAAGACAGTAGCCGGCAGTAGCGGGAAGTCAAACAACGATGCCGCTGCAGGCACCACGAAGAGGAAGAAAAAGGACAAGAGTAAACAGATCGGGGCAAGCAAGAGAGGTGACGACGAGAAATGACCAATGGAGCGTGTCAGGAGAAAAAGCAGCGATTGTCCTGTCGCAGAAAGGGAGCCGTTTTCGACATGATGCCAAATGCATGTGGTTTGCCCTTCTGTGGGTTTGTTTCTCTGTGGCTGCTCTGTTTCCGGTGCTTGGTTTCATCTCCCTGATTTTGTGTTCGTTCAACGCTGAGCGCACTTTCTTCGAGCATGGTCCAACTGTTTGCTGATAAATCGGTTGCGCCTACGGAACAGGCACTGAAGTAGCTGGCGGAGGAATCGGCAACGAGAAAACAGAGGAAGACAATAAGAAGGAGGAGCGTGAGCTGAAAGCCGCGAGGGAGGCCGCTTCGCTGCAGAAGAGGGAGGAACTGGCCAAGAAACGCGCCGAGAAACGCGCAAAAACAAAGAACAAGAAAACCCGGAGTAGACACAACATGAATGACGTGAGTACGTGAGCAACCGAATGCGCATAGGAAGCAAACTGGCGCGTGCCTTATACTTGTACAAAGAGTAACGGCGAAGGGTGGGAACCCTACGCGCTGTGCATGCCGCTCCTATGTCTGAATGGTTCGGGTTGGGTTCCTCGTCAACTTGTGGCGTTTGGAATGTGCGTTCGAATCTTGGTGCAGTCAACCAAGTGAGATTTCGCTCACAAACATTGTGGAGAGCGAACAATACGTGTGTGCGCAACCAATTCAAGTGCGCGGTCCACGAGAGCAATGGACGGCTGAATGGTTTTCGCGATGAAAGATAAGGCAAGCGCAACACAAGCAAGGTGGAGATCGAATGGAACAGGACAAATGTGGTCTTCCTCGTGTGTGACCTCATTTGATGCGCCCAAAAAATCATGCCGAAAACGTGTTCAAATTTGACGCCCAGAAGAAATGGGACGAGACACACATGTATACGCCGAAAAACTGTAGCGCCTCTCAACTAGAACTATACAGCTCCGTACTCTTTTGACCGGTGAAAGTTGTCGGCTCACCCTTGGAAAGAGAAGCCTACTTGCGTAAGATATTGAGCGTGAGGGATACTCCGTTGGGAGCGGCTGTGGGTCTCGTCGGCATTTCGAACCTTCAGTTTTTCCTCGGTGAAGCTACTCACACCAGCAGTCGTCGCGTAAAATCGTCACAGGCCGCAGTCGACAGAGGAGCTCCTGTAGCACCGACGCAGAAAACTGAAGTAGATGCCGTGAAGCAACCACCTGCAAACGACAAGGTGTCGAACGATGAAGCTGCCGAAAACGCGGCTTCTCCGAGATCAAACGCGAGTGACGTCCCGTCTTCGGTCGGTGGAGGTGGCGCGACCCAAACCGACCACTCGGGGGTAAGTGTCAAGGAATCAGCGACCCTCAGTCCTTCCGTCCGCGTGAATCGTAGTGCGAGTGGTTTGTCGAAAGGGACGCCTACAAGTCCGTGAGTACGCCAGGCCTGGCTAAGAATATATCGTGGGTGTAGTGAATACACACACAGCAGCGTAGGAAGGATTGATTTGGACGTGGCGAAGTCCAACCTGTCATAGTTTTGGGTCGCTTGGGCGCGGGGGGCAAAACTGCTTGAACGTAGAATTGATGGCGTTCAACGGTGTCGCGGACTTCGTCCAAGACAACGTTCTTGGACTGTAGCCCTCCCGTATCCCAAGAAAAGCGTTCCGACTACCGTGGATTAGCATTTCCCCCTCTCGAGTATGTAACCCTGCTCCAGTTTTTGTGATGATCTTTCGCTAGCAGCGCCTGCATTGATCGTGCCCAGTTCGATTATTCCCCACAAACGATACGTTTGATATGATCAAAAGGGTCCGAAGAAAAAGAAAAAGAAGAAGAAAACCGAGAGGTCGGATATCAACGGCGGCGACAATGGCGCAAACAGCAGGCCGGAATCTCCCGGAACACTGATCGGTCCCCTGACCGTGGCTGAGAGGCGTGCGAGGAAAGCAAAAGCACGCGCAGCCAAGATCGACGCAGCCAAGCTTCAGAAAGAGACGGCCGCGAGGGATGGGAGGATGGCAGAGCTGGATCTGCAGGACTCTTCGAAGACATTCACTGTGAAGGTAAGCAGGAAGCTGGACGCGGGTGCATACAAGTGGGTAGATGATGCGTGCTCCACAGCGCACGCTGTTTGTTGTCGCTTGTCGCTGGGCGGGAGGTAGATTGTTGCGTTCGTTGGCGTACCGTCGTGGATGCGAGCGGTAGCAGAAGATTCATTGTGGCTTTAAACGTCCAATTTTCGAGCTGTATTTCAAGAGTTGACCGGTGTGTTGAGAGGTCCTCCCTCTTTTTGTGCCCCCTTGCGCAAGGAAACGAGGAAGAACAAATGGTAACGAAAACATCTATGCCAACTAAGCCCGAACCGCGGGACGCAAAGTCACCCCCCCATCGTCGAATCACGCCACACCGCAACTTCACGAATAATCTCTCGACCCTCCGGCCCGTCCTCCTCTCCGCGTAGTCACACGTGAGACTTGGTCATGGAAAAAACTGATGAATCGGAACCCCTACCAGTACCGACCCCACGACTCGCAAACTGCCTGCGCTTCGACTGATCTCAACCCTCCCTGCACAAACTCCCTTTCGCATGATAGGCGATGGACCCTATGAAGACATCCCAAGACAACGACCTTCACATGCTGCCAGATCTCGGGGAGGGGCCTCTGTCCTTGGCGCGGCTGAGCGCCCCCTTGCCGCATCTAACACTACACCCGGGACGGCCACCATGCATCCAGCCCCAAGAAGTGAGGAATTTGCGCATATCCTCGGGGGCGCAACTCCATCGGACGTTGCAGACACACGTTTGGTCATGACGGCGCTTAAATGAACGTCCCAATGTTACGAAGAAGAGAGTCAATCCTCGATACTAGCTGTTTCTCGCCACCGCGTCATGAGCAAGCGCCATGTGGGAGATGATGGTTGTTGGCTTGTCGTTTCAAAAGGAACCAGTTGTCTTGGCCCCACGCTCATTCGCCGCTCGCCCTCCGCCTGTCTTCGCTCCGTCTTGGTTTCACGTTTTCCTTCGCTCGGCTGACGGCTTGGCTTGCCCCCCCCCCGCCACCACTGCCAGTTCAGCGTGTCGTTCCCGTCGGGCATCAGGCGCGCCTCGTCGCTCACTCCGTCCCTGGAAGTGAGGCTGGGTCCACCGAAGGCGTCACTTGAGCAGGTTGCTGGCGTTACGGATGGAAACACCGACGACAGAGCAAGTGACGGTGACGGTTTGATCAGGTTCGGTGAAAACGAAAACCTGATCTGGGTTGGCTCTGGCTGTAACCTTTACGAGGTGTGGCCGCTGATCGTCGTTGGACGGGGGGAATATTCCCGCTCGACTTCCTCAGACTTCGAGAGAGGGTTTGCTCCCGAAACTCTCGATACCAGATACAGAATCCGATACGAGACCACGAAAGCTGCAAGCGCTCGTCAAGGAAGGCTCCCCGCAGCAAAAACCGATCTTTTGTGTCACTTGCCCTCTGTTGATGCGCGATTCTTCGGATTCGTTATCCTCGCAACACAACTAGGTGTCCCGAATGCGCGGAGCTCCTGAGGAGCTCTCAGATCGTCCAGCACATCCGGTCGACGTGCAGGCTGCTCCCATGCACCCTCTGCTCGCGCCTCCTCCTGCCCGCCGACCGGGAGCGGCACGTGGAGGAGGCGTGTCCAAACCGCCGTCGGAGCTGCATGCGCTGCGGGGAGGCGGTCGTCGTCAGCGAGTTTGCCAGGCACGAGGCGGAAGGAGGCTGCGCGCGCAGGGTGGTGCCGTGCGCGGCGTGCGGGGATTTCTGTCCCGCCGACGACTTCCGAGAGCACGGGGTACGTGAACGACGCCATCACATTGCGTGTGTCGTAACAGGACGCTTGATGTGATCAACATGCACCAAGCTGCGCGAGTGTGTGGTTGGTGCGCCATATAGCGGGTAGCGCTCCTGCAGTGCATGCCCATGGCGCGACGGCTTGCACCGCATGGCGTTGCTGAGAAGCCCGCGCCGAAAGGGTTTCTATCCCCGAGAGAGAGCAAGATGGCGATCTTGTTGACAATGCTGCTGCACAAACAACGGCACCTGGGAGGCCACCCTTAGGTCAGGGTTTTGAAAGCGACTGCTCTCCCAAAATATGTTAATATTTCGAGCAAGAAAGTGCGACGAGAGTCGATCGCAACTCTTTTGTCTTCCTTCCTTGCGGAACTACCCATCGAGGCGAAGTTGCCCGGCAAACGCGCCACTCGTCGACTAGCCGGCGTGTGGTTCCACAACCCCTTCTCTTGGTCTCACCACAGGAGGCCGCACGATCTCGAGCGGCAAAACATATGTCGGGGGCCGTTGGTCACCAGGACACCTATATATCGTGGCCCTAGAATTTCGCTCGTTTGTCCTCACGTTCTGGAAATGACATATTCTTTTGACGATTTTTTTTTTCCAAGGCTAGAGAATGTCCCGAGCGTGAAGTGAGCTGCCCCTCCTGCGGGGACGGCCTCCCGGCGAGGCAGATGGCCGAGCATGCTTCGTCGCTGTGCCGGAACATGACCTGGGCGTGCGGGTGTGGCGAGGGTCCATTCGCTCTCTCGGAGAGACCGGAGCATCTCAAAACCTGCGACGCGTTCATCGACGCGTGGGAAGCTTCGATCGAGAAGGTGGGCGAGAAACCGGGGTAAAAAGGTAGAAAGGGGGCTGATGACGAACCTATCGGCAGAGAACTCTGCCGGATGTTTCCGCCAACCGACTCAGTACGTCGATTGGCTGGCTGAGGAGTGTTTCTATCATGCGGTGGGGTTTAACACATCGTTTTTGAGGCAGCGGGTAATGTCGATGTCAGTGTTGATATACACATCTCCGTAGAAACGAGAATTGGGAGATTTTGTGTGCTTTGTGGTAGATACGCAGCCTGTTTTGGGCTTGGAACGACTCAAAATGATCCGTGTGAAGTGCATCGGGGCGAACGATTGCTGTGGGCTCGTGTGCAATTTATCCTTCTCTCGAGGCCGTTTCCCACACATACACCCCATTTGACGGAGGAGAGGACGGGAGAGCCGCCGTGTTTCGTCGATGTATTACATGGATAAGAGGGGTCGGACGAAGTCACCATCGCAACTGACACAGCTCAGTTTGAGCAAGGTTTTGAGAGCACGGACAGAGGCAAGGATACTGTCATAATGCACTTGTGTGTATAGGTGTGTATCGCAATATTTGGTCGATGCTCGTTGATCCGACGATGGTTGTGAATCCCTCGATGGGCGTTCATGATTGATATTGATGTGGGTGTTGATCTAACGCGGAAACGACTACACACGATTGTCGCGCGATAGGGATGTGTCTTGTTGAGGGGATGCTGTTTTTTTAATCTTTCACATCGCACGTCCCCCAGGTGATCGCCAGAATGCCCAAGATCGAGGTGGTCCGCAAAATTGGAAAGGTAAATACGCAGGGTAGGTCTGCAGAGAAGGTGGCGGGGGCTGGTCAGCGGTGGGAGAAGTCAAAGCTCCCCAGTGCAAATATTTGCCACTAGAACGGTGTGGAAGCTGCTCGGAACCGGTGTCTGCAATTGCAGTCGTTGAGTGTTCGTGGGGGCATCATTCCTACAGAACGGGTGGTTGGTGGGACTAACGGGGTGGAGTTGAGCGGCACACGGGAGAAGGGTATGTAACACGACTGATCTGTGTCGACCAGGCCTTTGGCCAACCAGGGCTGTGGCGCTGGAGGGTGCGCTTGTAAGAATAGACACAACGTACAAATGCATTTGTAAGGTTTGGATCCTGTGACACCTGCTTTTGCCTTCCTGCCCCCTCAATTGCACACCCCGGCTCTCCCCGAACCGTTGAACCTTGGCCCTTCCGTTGTCGTTATTGGTATTCACAGGTTATGATCGCGACCCGCGTGGAAGATCCGGGCGTAGCGCTACTTGCGCTTGCTGAGTCCAGAGGGAGTGTCTCCCTAGCTGCTAGGAGAGTGGCAGATAAAAGGTGTGCAACATTTTGTGGCTTGTTTTCCTGTCCAGCATGGCAACTACCGTTGCCAATACAGTAGAGCTATGGAAGGAGGTGGTTGAGAGTAGTCGCAGCAACGGCATCTGGGCAGAAGAAAGGTTCGTGTTCATGGCCAGCCGGGAGCGAGAGAGAAAGAGGGATTGGACGAATTTGCGGGACGCCAAACCAATTCAGAACGAGGGTTGTGCCCACGTCAACAGTTACCTACCAATGGTGTATGCACTAGAACGAAATAGATTTTGTAGCCGCACCCGCTGCGCCTCTTCCGTGAAAGGAGCAAGCTTATTCCAGGAAATATCGGTGAATTACGTGTCCTGGAGCCACTTCTATGACCCGATATTCGCGAAGTACTTCATCCCCGCTAGGAAGGAGATATTTTGATTAACACCTCGACGAACCCGCCACGCTGCGTGCGTTAATGAGCTGTTGTTTTGGCTAGGGGTACGGTGCCTGCTTCACGTATCATTTAGACTAATTCCCTTCTCGTTCCATGTTTCCGTAACGAAGCAACTACCTGCACTCTGCGTGTCTTGCAGGGCGTACATCGACGAGCTCTGCCTGGCCGCCGATATCGTGAACGTCGAGGTCTTTCTAAGGGCGCTCAGGAAGCCCGGAAAAAGGGTATCAGGGGCTCTTTGGTGCGCAGGCCTACCGTGAAAAAAGTTGTTGCTAGACTAGTTCACATGTATGCCGAACACAGCTGTCTTCGCTTGTTCCTCTCGTTGTAAAGTGGGGTACCCTGAGCCGTCTTCGCTCTTTCCTCTCTTTGAAACTTTTTTGTTGTGCGTCCCAAATCGTTACGACGTCGTGTTTGAGGGACCTCTGAACATGGGTCCGAGGTACCGGTCAGGCTGGTTCTCGATGGCAACAAAATTGATGGCAATAGGGCGGAACGTAATCCCCTACCCCCTCCTCTTCTATGCTGGGCGATTGACGGCGAAGAAATTACAGCTGCACAGCGACACGTTCACACGATGTTATTGTCTACAACAGAGACGAAGCGCGACATGTGCCGACACCAAGGGGATCGGCGTGGTATATCGTAGCCTATTCACCACACGAGATATCACAGCCGCAACAGATACCACGCCCAGCCACAAAACACGAGACCCTGTGATAAGATACTTTGTGGCACACCGTTAGCTCGAAAGCGATTAAACTCTCTGATCAAGTGATAGGGTAGCAGAAGATACTACCACACACCCCACCCACCTGCTGGACCATGCGATCGTACAGCAGTGTACGAAAAGCCCACGGGACTCAAAGCTACGTTCTGGGCCTATTTATACCACACTTCGTTCTTGCGTCATCAGCATCTATCGACAGCCCCCTAAAGAAACGCCGATGTACACGCTGGGGCAGCGAAGAGGCGTCGGCATTTCAAGAGCAACACCGGCACCGGCCCATACGACCGATGCCTCCCGATAACCACGGGTTGCTGCCGCTGCGGTCGCTCCCTGGCCCAGTTCGCTTGCGCTTAGGCCCATTCTTGCCCGGCAACCCGCTACCGCGTAGAAGCGACGGCGACGATAGATCTTGCAAGGGGGATCCGTTTTTGGCCCCGCCGTTCTCGCTTCGATCATTGTTGTCGTCGGCGGTGCTAGCGTTGTTCCAGCAGCACCGACCGCCTACCCAAACCTGAGAAACCTTGGCCTCAAGAAGCAGACTGGTGGGTTTCCAAGTAATACGCAAGTGGTGCAGGCGAAGGGGAATCATTTTTGGCTTGTGGTAGTGTGGCGGGGACAAGGCGGAGCTGCATCGGCAATTGTGTGACGATGATGTTGATTCTCTTGACGAGGATCTCCGATCTGAAAAGGTCCCAAGCACCCTTGCGAGACGTGGCGGTGCCGCGCGCACTCCTCAGGTTCAAAACACGTTACGTAAAGCGCAGACAGCACTAGCTACGACACGCGAGGTTCCTTCGTCCTTCAAATGCACAACGCCCAAAAGAAATCGCGTTCGAGCCAAGACGTTTGCACAAAACCAATTTTCCGTCCGCGGTGCACACCGAACCGGGGTGTACTCATCCCCCCTGTACCCACTCTGACCTCGGGTCTTTCAACAGGCTCTCGTAGCCGCCTTCCACTTCGAAGACGGTGAGGTCGGCCAGGAGCCCCGGCCGAATGGCCCCGATCCTCCCTTCCGCGCCCGCCGCGAAGGCGCCGGCGGCGGTGTACATCCACACCGCCTCTTCGAGCGTGAGGCATTCATCCCGCATAAAGGCGGTCACGCCGCTGCCGCTGGCGCCGCCGCCGCCGCCGCCGCCACGACTGTTCCTGGTCTCGCCGTTGGCAAGGTCATCGGTGTCGCCGCCCGATGGCTGCGTTGTAGCGCCTTCTTGATCTACCGGAGACGAGGGAGGCTTATCCGGCCTAAATACCGCGTCGTACATGCCACGGAAGGGGTTGTGGGTCTAGGGAGGGCATGGTGCGGCGCAGGCAAGAGGCAAATGGAGGAGGGAAAGGCGGTGGCAGCGCGTGGTGGAAGTCGTGATGCATGCGCACGTGCGTGCTTGTGTAATCGTGTTTGGCGCGAAAATGCCCTTTGTCCGCCAAGCCCAAATGTAATGCGACGATGGGGCCGCGTGATGCGTGACGAGAGGTTCGAAACAAGACCACAACGGGCGAAACCCACATCGATGGATTGAAGCGTTCCGTATACAAATCGAGAAAACGGGGAGGGGAGTTTGGCAACAGCCCCCCCTCCCCCCCCCTGGCTGCCTGGTGTACCTGTATAGGGGCTCAGCTGTACAAGCAACATGTTCTTTGCTGCTGTACCTGAAGCTGCCGGAAATGGAGGCGGCAGGAGAAGCATTATGATACGAAAACGGAATGGAAACACTTGCCGATCGAGGGCATCGACCTTGCTGAGCCAATATATTCGCTCCGATCCGCGTGTGCATGCGCTTCACCGCCCGCAAAAAACACAAAAGCTGCCACCGCACGAGTACCAACACCGCAACCTTTGATGGGTGCAGAAACACGCTTTACCTCGATTGGGGCGTCGCTGCTACCCGCGCACGTCACACCGCCGCCCAGAAGCGAGCGCCAGGGGTAGCAACTCGGGTGCATGGAGGGGCTGTGGGGTACAGGCAACCATCACGCCGGAGACAAAAGGCCCCGAGCAGACGACACGTGGAGAGCGGGAACGGCGGTAAGATTACGTGCCCAGAGAGAAAACAAAAGAAAAGAAAATAATCCTTAACGGCGCGAAACCGGGCGCTTTCACGACATCGAAAAACACACCCACTAGAGGTGCATCCTTGATAATTTATCCGGACCTGTAATGTCTAGGGTCGCCATATCAGCAAAAACCGTCAGCGCACCAAGCATAAGCCCAACCAATCGTGCCCTGTCCCTATCCTTGTTTGCGTGTCTGTGTAGGAGAGGAGGGGTATTACTGGACAGGACCGGACGAAGCCGTTTCACCGCCCTGATAAATCGCGCTGGGAGTCTAGCCAACGCGCGGACCCAATACTTCGTGGTGGTACACCATGCCAACCAAGGTTACGTACGCACATGACCTACCTCAGGCGTTTGATGACCACGTCCGCGTCCGAAGGTACGAAAGACGGCTGAACCGCCGCAACGGCGCCAAGCTTCCCCATCCTCGCCACCAGGTCAGGGCCGGCAACCTTGGGGGCAAAAAGCAAGACGCACGCGAAACATGCGACAGTGAGAAACGTTTGGAGAACGCAGTCGGCTCGTTCCACCAGGATGCCTTCGCCGATAGCAAGACATTCGCACAAGAAGACCGAAGCAAGGTGTATCCGAAGTGCAGCGTTCCGTCGAAGAAGGAGGGAGACAGGAGACTCTCATTCCCACACCTTTCGACTAGTCTGCAGGGAAAACAGCAGCTTTTGTCGTTCATCTCCGCTTGATCACCTTCCCACGTTTCGTCTGTGTCTGGCTCTCTGAACACAGACACACACCTTCCTGTGATTCAGCACACAGCAGTGCAATCGAAGCATGTCCAACGCTGCGTATTTCTATGGCTATGGATGGGTGCTCGTCACCTGGCAGTGAGTCACAATTGGCCGGTCTGTGGGTTGAAGACCCGCTCCTTCGAAGGCATCCAGGACGGCCTCCAGGGCCCTGTCCCCGATGGCGTGAACTTCAACCCGGAATCCGCGGTCTCGCGCTTGCGCCACCTGCCATGCGGAATCAACGATAGGTCACAGTCATGCCGCATGCGAAGGCCGGGCAGGGGTGCGGGGGGTGAAGCGGGGGCCTGATAAATTCCCTTGAGAATGGGAGGAAACGTGAAACTCTGGGTGCGTACTCTGTCGGACATACAGCAGTAAAGTCAAACTACGTCAATGACGTATCCCCAAAACCTAAGAATCAAAAGGATAAACGAACAACTAGAGGGTACAAAGTACGAACATGGCTTGTGTTGAGGGCGGGCCATCGAAGTCGTTGATTGTATACACGAAGGTGCATGCCCCTCTTCCTTCTATCAAAATATCGCTTCCACGGCCGGTGTAGGAAACAGCCTGCAAATCGGCGGATCGAAGCACAGAGTTGCGAACGAACGTTCTCATCACCCATCGATTTCGTTAAGTTCCTCATCCTTTTGGACAAGAATTTTTTGTTGATTTCTCCCTCCCCTCCCTCTCTCCTCCCCCCCCTGGTTGTCTCACCTTTCTCGTAAGCGCCTCCGGCTCATGTATCAGGACACCTTTGTTGGCAGTGCCCAAGTACGGCAGCCTCATCGCAGCCGTCTCAGCGCCTGCTCCCGAAAAAGCATCATCAACCGAGCAGGACGAACACCTCTCGAACAACGCTTGGGGGATGAGGACGTACATTTCGGTCCCCTAGCCTCAGTGGCTTGCTGTGGTCCAAAGGAGGACAACAGCAATCGATATAAGGACCAACCTTTCACGGCGAGCACACATTGGCATCCTTACATGTGCTTGAACAACTCGACACGGTCCGGGAGCTTCTGACTTTCCGAGGGTGAAACTTGAGCATCAAAGAACAAACCGTCGGAGAATACCCTGGCACCACCAATATTAGCGCATCTTATGAGGCACAAGCACCAAAAGGAGGGTGAACAGGTGTGTCGATCTCAAGCTGCCCGTCCATCACCACAAAGCAATCGAGCAGGCTCGACACACGTACACACCTAACGACCCGTCCGAGAAGAGCTTCACTCGGTTCCAAGACACCAGGCCTCCGTTCCCGGACCACGGTGTCGGTTTTTTATCGCACACTTCTCCTACGCTCTCCTTTCTTCCACCGCCACCGCTGTTGTCGGCGACAGGGTTGTCCTTGTCGAGCTCTTCGTGGGGAAGCGTCAGGTAAACGCGAACAGGGAGCCGTCCTTCCTCCTGTGTTTGTTACCCCGAGATCCGCCCGGAGTTGTTTCGGTGTGGTCAATCAAACGTCGACGAAATTGCAGGGGCTTAAGAGGAGCAGCAGTAACACGAGGGGCTGGCGAGTGTTTCAACCCTCCATGCATACATCGGGGTTATGCTTCATTCGAGAAACCGCGAACAGATTCATCTGCGTGTGGTGAGGGCCTTTCGGCGTCTTTCTTGGAAAGGTCATGTGTTCCTCGAGGATACGTCAGTGGGCACGGGCCTTACTGCAAGTATTACCAATCTGATGTGTGAATCCGATCACATTTCAGGGGTTTTCAGGCATCTCGTTGGCCCCAGGGTAGGTTTACTTTTACTTTACGTGATCAAGCACCAGCTTGCGTCAGGGTCGCAAGGACCGACTCCTCTGCGCTCTGCCCACGAACACCATCACCATGGTCCACGGATGCACAGTGAGCTTGTGCTCTCCCCGTCGGTGTACGGTGTACTCGCGACTCTCTCCCTTTCAGCCAACTTTCACCTTCGGTCCGCACACGACGTGAGCGGCAACATCGGGGTGTTTGGCATTGTACCCTACGTTGTCTAGCTTGCTTGGGTGTTCACGAAAGAACGTCCTTCTTTCTGCAGGATTGATCAGCACGGGGACGTGAAGGTGCTGAAGCAGAGGCAACCATCACTTTCTGATGCAGGGAAAAACAACAACAACAACAACAACAACAACTCCCAAATTATCCCACCGTTCACGTAGTGGAGCCGCCTCACTAAGCAAGGCAGGGTGCCTCAACAATGCGGAAACGACCGGAGGTGGAGATCCAATATCGTGCGGTCAAAACTACTTGGCATTGGAATTGTCCACTACATTTGGAACCCATGTGCCCAATCCGCAGTAGTACAGAGTCTTGCAACAGTGCCGTTACATTCGCTCGCCATTGTACACGCTGCACGCTGTCGAGAAACCCGTACCATACTGAGGCGGGCGAACGACAAGTAGTTAATCGGCGTGTGACGCCCTCGTTAAATCATGAGCTTCAAGCCCGTCTCTAATCCAAGGCTCACCTGCAACTGCGAATAGATCTGGATGGCATTCTCGTCGTTGCTGTGCACCGCAGTGAGCCCGCTTCTCACGCACCGCTCAAGCGCCTCCGCGAAGTGGTCGCATCTTGTTTGTTATTGTCGTGTGAGGGGTCGAGGTGAGCGTCGTAACATGGCAACGCGTGGGGCGAGGTCCATCGAGCCGAGACCACGCGCACGTACGGGATCCGAAAACCACACACAGAAGAGGTAGACGTAGAAATGAGAGGACGGCGATCGATGGTAGTGGAAGCGGAGGCGATTTACCCTTGTCTGATTTCTTGTCGTAAGGCCAGAAGAGATTTTGACCTCCGACGTCCGCCTCAACACCGACACGCTCACTTGCAGCAACAAGAGACAACCGAGAAACGCAAAGGAAAGATAAGGCGCTCATCTTGTGAATGGCCCTGGAAGGTTGGAGATGGGGGCCTGCCGGAGCTACCAACCGAATCCCCAAAGCTGGCATGAATCATAAAAGCAAAACTTGCCCAGGCGTACAAGCGCCGCAGTAGCAGCAGCTTAAAGCACCGCGCACCTTATCTCGAAAGAAGCCGCGGTGATGGCGGCCTCCACGAGCCGCATCGAGCCTTCCCGAAACAGCCCCGTCGGGCGCCCGGCGTCGTCTACCTCAACACCCTCGCTCGCACCCGATTTCTCCTTCTGTCCCCCTTCTGCCCCGACCCCCCCCGTAGACGGCGGATCATTGCCAACGGACCACGGTTTGTTCGGGTCGATGTCCGCGGCGCGCAGAGCAGCCGTGTTGACGACGGCGGCGTGCCAACACCGGCGGTAGAGGAGGCAAGGTCGTCCATCCGGGAGGGCTGCGTCGAGATCGGGCCTCGTCAGGGGCTTTGCAGGCGCCCATAGGTTTTGATCCCAGCCCGTGCCGATCTGGAGGAGGTGGGCGGGGGGAGGGGTGGTGAGCAATCACGCGAATGTAGAGGTCTGAATACCATTCCGGTTAGGCATACTTCCTTTTCGCCGTCGCTTTTCGACGTCCGATACCAGAGGTCTTACAAGACGGACGTAAGGGTGGGCGGATATATTTGCATCACGACACACGGTGCGAGACGCTTGCCGCTCGCTGGAGAGGCACTTACACTTGAGATATCTAGAACCCTTTGTTGAGGTAAAGTGACAGACGACATACGCTTATTGTTAACCGACATTGCAGGCGAGAGGGCGCTGACATTCAGGAGGATCGCGGAGAAGACAGGCAAGACCCTTGTTGTTTGCTGGTGTCCCAACGGCTGGCGCTGTGTTCAATTCTGTGGTGCTGAAGACTTTCCTAATGTGATTTCTAGTGCCACCGTAGGGACGTGTATTTGCGGTTGCCTGCATCACACAAGCGAGATATAGGTAGACTTCGTACGGAACACAGGCAATACTTCACACATTCATGATGACTGTTACTGTACAGCTCACCACCCACGGGAGGTCTGGGTTGTTCTCAGCGTGCTGTCTGAGGATTTGTTGCACCTCCGCAACAGAATTGCAGCCACTCAGCTCCACGTAATGAGCACTGGTTACAGGAGGGAGTAACGAAGGAAGAAAAGTGGTACAAAAGAGGAGAGGACGGGGGGTATGGAAATTGGAACATTATGCGAGAGGGTCGAAAAACAAAATATTGTGGAGTACGGGGGGGGGGGGGGGGGGAC